CCCCCCCGCCCCGGGCGGTGGAGCCCTGCCCAGCGCCCAGCCTGGGACAAGCCCGTTTTGTATTAGCCACGCTTGCGGCCGGCCGGCCGGACAGATGGACGGCTTCACCCTGGACCGGGCAGGGCACAGCCTCCTGCCCCGATGCCCGCTGGGCTGGGGCATTTGGACCAGGCCCCTGTTCCCCCCTGCACACACGTCAGCAGACTCCTGATTGGCTGAGAGATGGCCACGCCCCACCCCACAAGCACATGGCCATGCACACAGCCCTGCTGCGTGCTGCTTTCCGATTGGCTGGGGGGAAACCGACCCATGCCGTTCATCTGACTTCTGATTGGGTGCCAGAGGGTAGGACGCTTACAGTTTTACAGCGTTCTAGTTTCTGATTGGCTGGGAAAGGATCGAACGCAGACAGTCTTGCAGGTTTCTGGCTTCGGATTGGCTGGGAGAGGACTGAACGCATATATTTGCAGCATGCTGGTTTCTGATCGGCTGGGAAAGGATCGAACACACGGTCTTGCAGCTTCCTGGTTTTTGATTGGCTGGAAGGAAACCATCACATCCATACAGTTCATCAGACTTCTGATTGGCTGAGAGAAGGCAGGATGCTTACGGTTTTGCAGCATTCTGGTGTGTCATTGGCTGAGAGAGGACTGAACACGTGGTCTTCCAGCGTTCTGCGTTCTGATTGGCTGGGAGAAGACTGGACCCGTAAATCTTGCGGCATTCTGGTTTCTGTGTGGCCCCACCGCCTTGCCGCACTTGTTGCTCTCCAGTATAGCCATACCCCGTGCCGTGCCATTGCTGTTGGGCAAGCAGCCATGTCACGATGTCCTGGCTGGACGCTGCTGGTTGCTGGGGCTGACTGGTACCGGGGGGCCGTGCCCCCGCCCCATTTGCCCCCTGGCCACCTAGCCGCTCTGCCGGGGGCTGTTTCTATCACTCCTTCCCCCGGGACTTGTGCAGACACCCCAGGACAGGCCCCACAGCAGGAGGGGGATCCGCTCCATCTCCATCTCCATCCTCTCCGTCATTGCCCTTCGGGTTTTATCAACCCCCCCAGTCTTCTCTCCTCCAGGCTAAATAACCCGGGCTCTTTCGGCCTCTCTTCATCAGTCTTGCCCCCCCCAGACTCCTAATCGTGCTTGTCGCCCTGCGCCGGGCTCTTCCCAATCTGTCCTTCTTGAAGTGCAGCACCCAACACAGGACCCAGGGCTCCAGAGCGGGAGACTCACGTCCTTCGATTGCACGTGACGAATGCAGCCCCGTGCACCGCTGGCATCTGCTGCTAATATCCCAGGACTGTTTGGGACCCCTCGAGCGGTCTGCTCTCAGCTCTGCATGGTGGATCTCAGGTCTCCTGTCCTTATATCCACGCTTCCCAGTGTGAGCACTAGATCTGCCCTGTGAGGGCCAGCCCTGCCCGGTGCGGTTCGGCACCCCCTACCCCAGTGCCCGGCACCCCAGGCGAATGCTTGGCAGAGGCCAGAGCCATCCCTGCCAGCAGCCCCCAGCAGCCCCAGGGCAAGGCAGCTACCAGGGGGGCATCGGCAGCGGGGAGCCGTACCCCTTTGTTCACCCCCATCTTGCCCTGGTGTAGAAGGGGAGAAGGCAAGAGCTCCAGGCCGCAGTCCTGGGTCTGATGCAGGAGTCGTGGGTCTCGGGTCTGTGCCCAACCGCGGCCCCAGTCCAGGGCTTTGGGATCTTGCAAGGCCGGTGTCTTCTTAGGGGAGCAGGGCCTTGCCCCCATGTAGCCCCTGCTCTGGCAAACCCACATATCTCATGAGTGATGCCAATGGGGAATCCTCTTCTGCTGCGGCAGTGCAGGGGCAGGGACACATGGCTCAGCAGCCCCATGCACCCAATGCTCGACAGCCCCACCAGTAACCTTCTGCCTGTCCCCACGGGCCCCGTGCTGGGAGACCAGCCACCAAGTTTGAAGGTGCTCATGTGTGTCCTGATTTCTGGCACCCCAGGCGGAGAGCTCGGGGAGCCCATTGCCACCGGCACAGGGGGTGGCACAGAGTGTCGAAGATACCCAAGCCAGGAGCTCTGCAGCGTCCAGCCCAGTCCCCTTCAGCCCATGCCCCAGCTCCGGGGCTTGCACCGCTCCTAAGGACAAGCATAAAGCCATTGAATCCCATGGTTGCCAGAGCCACGCCAGGTGCCCCGGGGAAGCAGGATCCAGGTCAGGGTCGGTCATCAAATCATGGAAATCCTAGAGCAGCGGGGCTGGAAGGGACCCGTGGGGGTCACAGCTAGTCTGAGCCCTGCCTGGGGCAGGATCAGCCCTGTACAAAGCAGCCCAGACAAATCCAGCATGCAACCTCCGAGCAGCACGGCACTGTCACCCTGACATAGCACCAGGCCCCAGTACTGCAATGCCACCCACCCTCCAGGTGCCTGCACTCAGCTGGGGATGAGAGCAGGACTTATGCACTGTCAGCAGGGGCAGCGTGTGCTTGGCCCTGCACGCTGCACCCATGGTGGGCACGGAGCACGGAGCTGCCTGGCTTCCCATGCAGACCCTGGGGGAAGCGGTCTCCATGCACAGGGGCAGGGTCCAGGCATGTCCCAGGGAGCCTGGGACTCAAAGCATGCACCCACAATGTCCCAGCACGCTCAGCACCTCGTCTGCTCAGGACCTGCACACTTGTGCCACGTGCAAGGGGCTGTACAGGCAGGCAGGGCAGTGGGGACACAGGGCTTGGAGGGAGGGGGGAGAGCCAGGGAGACCCCAAAGCCATGCACAAGACCCAGGGTGCATGCTCAGCACCTGCTTTGGACAGGTGGAAATAACTGCCCCAAGCTGGCAGGGAGGGGGGCATCCGGGGGCTGTGCTACATAACGAGCAACGTCCATTAAACAGCTGTATCTGACTTCACCGACCCGGCGTGCTCAGGGTGCAGCATCCACAGGCTAAGCAGCCTCTTTGCAGGGCTCCAGGAGAGGTAGGGGCTCCATCCCAGGCCCCCAAGCTGTCAGGCTGAGCCTCTCAGGGCCCCTGGCCACCCCAAACCCAGGCTCCCTTTGCCCTGGGAAGGGGGCTGAGGGGAGATGGGAGTCGAGGGGGGCAGGAGTGAACTCCCAGATCCATTCCCCGGGCCATGCGGGAGCCTGGGGGGGCCGTGCCCAGCCACGCTGTCTGGAGCTGCGGGATGCAGCTGGAAAGCCCGCGCCGTGCTGAGTCACAGACACTGGTGCAGCGCCCGACCCTGCTCTGATGCATCCGGCCCCAAAAGCATTGCATCTCCCCAGGGCAGCAGGGTACCACCAGGTACCGAGAACCAGAGGGAGCCCCCCGGGGCCTGGCACCATAGCACAGGTGAGCCATGCACTGCAGGGGACTGCACCCCATGGAAAGAAGAGGGGCTGGGAAAAATGCTCCGATGGAAGCTCTGGGAGAGCCCAGAGCCTGCAGCCTGCCCGTGCCCTCCAGCTGTGCCATGTCCTGGGGCCACAGGCACAGGCTGGGGGCAGGATGCCACTGGGCACTGAGTGCTGGGGGACCCTTCCCAGAGCCCTTGGAGCGCCCAGATGTGGAAGCATAGGGCGGCTTCTGAGCGGGTCAGGCCAAGGGCTCTGGCTAGTACGCACCCCTCTGTGCACATCTGCTGCATGCAATTGGGGTTGGGCTCGGTCCTGGGGACCCCCTGCAGCCCCAAAACTGAGGCTGGGGCAGCAGGCCACGTCCACAAGGAAGCATGGCTTTGTCCCGGTGAGTCGGCAGCTGCAGGGCAGAGGATACCAGGCCAGGAGCACAGCTCCAAGGATGGCCTGGACTGCATGCAGCGACAGGCTGGGGGCAGCCCCCCGAGCTTACCCTGCAAGCAACCCTGGGACAAAGAAGGAGAGAGACCGCCACCCCATCAGCTTCCCAGTGCAGCCCAGTCCAACTGGCTGCACTGCCAGAGTCCACAGCCGTGCTCCGTGCACCCCATCAGGTGTGGGAAGGTAAGCGGGGTCCGACGGGGTCCCCTGCGGGTGGGAGACCCCAGGGCCCAGTCCTGCAGCAGGGAATCCTCGTCCACCTCCTGGGGGATGAGCAAACAGGCTCTGGGAATACCAGGCTCCGTGTGTGCACGCTTGGCTCCCTCCCCTGGCCAGCCGCTGAAACGTCCATGGGCTGCAGCTCAGGGAGCGTTTCAAGGGCTCGGGCTCAGGAGAGAAGGGCTGTGCTTCTTCTGCAGCCCCAGACGCATGCTGTGCTGCCCTAGGAGAAGCGCTGGAGGATAACCCCCTTCAGCTGTCAGCTGAGATTCGGGAGCAACATCGCCTATATCTGCCCGCCAGCCCCGCTGCACGCAGGGTAACAGCACAATGGCAGAGGCAGCTTCCCGACGGAGCCGGCAGGGACATGGGGACAGGGGTCCCCATGTCTGGAAGCCTAACAAGGCTTTCCAAAGCACATAGTGAGAAGGCAGGTTGCCCCTTGTTGCCAGCCCCCTCCCAAGCAGAGCACCCCCAAGGCTGCTCCAACTTAAGCCTGGCTGCCCCAGCGCCCACAGAGGTCTGCAGCGTGGGGTGCTCCAGCTGTCTGCCCTGGCCATACCAGAGGCACCAAGAGAGGAGGCATCAGAGCAGCATTGGGGGGTCTCCCCAGCACAAGGGGAGCAGAACCCCTTGCCCGGATGCAGCCCCCTGCCTCCCAGCCCTGCCGGTGCCCCTCACTCCCGACCTGCAGCACCCTGCTCCCCGCAACCCTGCCAGTGCCCCTCACTCCTGACCCACAGGACTGCCCCCCAGCCCTGCTGCCCAAGCAGTTCCTGTGCACACATGCATGCATGCATGCACACACACACACACACACACACAAACACGTGCACATGCACACACGCACACATGCACACAGTGTCTCTTTACCTGGAAGCAGCTTGGCACCCGGTGCACAGCCAGTCACCTTGCCTGCTGCTCCCAGCCCCAAGTAGCCAGCTCGGGAAAGCGGAGGCAAAAACATTAGCTCG